GAGTGTTTTATAATACTTTCCTTACTGAAGAAAATGTTTCCTTCCCACTGTTTTAACAAGAAAGAAGTCAGAATTCTAACATATATAAACTACACACACTGATAGCATCACGCTAAAGGAAACTTCATTCTGTGACATTATCATTACTAACTCTCACTCGCACTAGAGTGACTTTTCAAACACTCTACGATTCATGAACGTATCCCATAGGACACAGGCTTCCAAAGCCAAAGTAAACTTTCTGTCACACCACAGTGCCGTTTTCTCTTCTCCTCCCGCTGAACACAAAGTGCAGATCTCGAGCTTCAACCCTTTCACTAGGCCAGGAATGAAAACAACTGCTCACTTCTTATCACCTTAAATACAGAAGGATTCTGTAGTCATAAGGAATGTCCTACGATAGTTCTGAATTTCTGAACGGCAGCTGTTGGAAGTTGATTTAGAATTTATCAATACCTACAGCAAAAGAACCAACAGACAAAATAAGGAAAATTTCAGGATTGATGCATTCATTCCAGTCTTCTGACATTTTTCATAAGCAAATTCCTAATGGTTAGCCCAGAAATACATCTGGACATCTGTTAATACACACACCGGAGGGGAGGGCAGGAAAGAAAAAGAAAATGGGCCAACTAACATAAATGTTTACTGATCGCTTATCAGCAACGCAATTACCCAGTAATTTCAAAACTTCCCAACCCTCAGCAACTACATTTACCTTCTCGCCCCAGCCACTTCGTAAAATCAGTCAGTGTCTCCCACTGTGTGGCGTTCATGTGGATGTGCTCCCGATGACTGATATATTCATTGTACACAATATTATTGTGGACTCTCTTTGTTCCTGAAATACAGAAATACTATTATTAAATGTAAGCATGGGAGAAAAGCAAACAAAACTTGCACTGAACTAATAAAAGACATTAAAAAAAACCAGCAAACAAACAGTACAATACTTACCAAATCGTCTCCGAAGCAGTTCCAGGAAATCATTTCGAAATTCCCTTATGGGATAAAAAGAAAATATTTTAGTAAAACTTCAACAGTTGTAAAGTATTTTTCTATTGTCATTAGTTATCAAATATTGTCATATTGTCATCCTCTGTAGTATAAATGAGCATTCTTTTGAACTGCACCTGACAAAATTCAGACATTCAGTTCCCTTCTTTAGAAAAGCAGCATTAAACGCAGCACGCGTGCACACAGAAACACAGTATGGCACACGCACACACCAGTTAAATCTTCAAAAGGAGAATACCCTTTCAAAGGGATAAAAGGGAAAGAAAGAAATCTAAACAGTTCCCACTAATTGCTGGTATTTCATTACCAGTATCTTCCCGGCCGAGTGACACAAGACACGGAGCATGACAAAGGGCAGCGGGGGTAGATGGGGCAGATTGATCACTCATCTCGCCGTTAATTCGAGGGCTCACATCAGACCCGTGCTGAAGACAGCTCCAGTCAACCCCGCTGTCATGTAGGTCAGCTGGACAAAGGACTGAGGGAAACTGGGGGACATCAGTCACACCCCTGACACGTTCTCTCTCTGTAAGGGTTCTCTGTGTAACTCAGCGCATGTGGCACTCGGCAGGGATAGAAGGGTGACGTACTTTGTGACACAGAACTCAAGACATGGGATAAAATTGCCAAATTCAAATATCAAAGAAATGAGCTGGCACTAAAATGTAACAGAATAAAGTGAGAGTATTGGTGGACAAAAAGCTGGACATGAGCCAACAATGCGTGTGTGCAGCCCAGAAAGCCAATCGCACCCCAGGCTGCATCAAAATCAGCGTGGCCAGCAGGGCGAGAGAGGGGATTCTGCCCCTCTGCTCTGCTCTGCTCTGGTGAGACCCCACCTGAGTGCTGTGTCCAGCTCTGGACCCTCAACACAAGAGGGACACAGACCTGTGGGAGCGGGTCCAGTGAAGGCCACAAAAAATCATCAGAGGGCTGGAGCATTTCCCCTAGGAGGAGAGGCTGGGTGAGTTGGGGCTGTTCAGCCTGGAGAAGAGAAGGCTCTGGCGAGACCTTCCAGTACCTGAAGGGGCTACAGGAAAGCTGGGGAGGGGCTGTTCACAGGGTGTGTAGCAGTTAGACAAGGGGCAATGGTTTTAAACTAGAGCAGGGCAGATTTAGATTAGATATCAGGAAGAAGTTCTTTGCTATGAGGGTGGTGAAATACCAGAACAGGTTGCTCAGAGAGGTGGCAGAGGCCCCATTCCTGCAGGCATTCAAGGTCAGGCTTGATGGGGCTCTGAGCAACCTGATCTGGTTAAAGATGTCCCTGCTCACTGAAGGGGGGTTGGACCACATGACCTTTAAAGGCCCCTTCCAGCCTAACACATTCTATGATTCTATGACTCTATGAAAGTGTCTTCAGTGGGACACAACTGGGCCTTAGAGGTATGGTTGTGCTTCCTACAGGAACGAAGATCTGGGTAAGAATATAGAGGAAACTTACTCGGAAAAGTAATCCATGAATTGCTGAGGATTTTCAGAAGCCAGCAGCAACTGCCTCTGGTGGGACTCAGACATGCAATGACATTTGAAGCCATTCTACAAAATAAAAATAAATACCTTATCTGTCCTTGCTTCAATTTGCAACAGTCACACAGTTGAAGAGTAGTAAAAATAATATTTTCTAAGTGAAATCTCTTGCAAGCTCCATAGAAAACACCTTAACTTAGCCACAGGCTACATGGGGTGGTTGTTCCTCCTGACCAAGTGAGCCAGAAACAAAACTCTTCTCAAGGCCAAAAGCCTCCAGAGACAAGATGGGACATCCAGCAGTTTTCTTCATCCTGCGTGAACGGGATAGACGTGGCACCACCAGGTCCATCCAGCTCTGGAAGAATTTGCTGTCTCAGTCCGTACCTGACTAACACTGACACAAAACATGTGCAGAGCTCAAGCTATGGACTTTGACAGTTTGGCCACCGGCGGCACAGGAGTGAAGTCAAAAGATCCCCAAAAAGCATCCAAACATAGGACATCTGACTGCATCCTTTTTTTTGTCTAATATAATGTCCTTTCATCACAATGTGACTAAACATACAGCAAATTTCATTCCATAGGAGCCCTTCCTAAAAGATTTTGTTGTAAAGTAGTGACGTTCTTTGCTTGTGGTCGTTGGGAAGAGAGTAGGATTTGAGCTTCTTGGGTGAAAGGGAGAGGGGGGCAGAAACAAAACAATTAAACAGCCACACAATACTTTACTTGTCTTCTCTAAGGCACCTTAAAGGGACTGTTCATGGAGAACAGGAAACTAAAAGCACAATTAGCCCAAGCAGAGGTACTTTTGAGCACAACTCTGGTGGGAATCAGGAAGAAGAGGACACTCAGACGACACAGGTCCAAGTGAACAGACAAGTGAAGAGTAGAGGGGGAAGCTTCAGAGAAAAAACAACTCTTCATAACAGGAGAGGAAGGGAAGAAACTAAGTCACAATCAGAAGTAAGGAGTCATCAGTACAGGCCAAGACACTTTCTCCAAATTAGATGAGTACTTCTCGCACCAGGGATCAGGGACCCCAACAGGTTTGCCCCACAAGTGGGAACCCTCCAGGTCCCACCACTCTGTCCCCAAGGGACGAGAGGGAGTGAGGATGAGAAAAGGAGAATAAGAGCCCTCTTCAGTGGTCCCCTAAAGAGTCAAGGCTCCTCCTGCTCCTGGCAAGCGAGGTCAGGATGCGCCCTAGAGGGACTGCATCCCACAGATGGGGTCTGAACCCTCACGAAGCGACTGGGGACACCTGCAAACAGAACCTAAGCCAGCCTTGTACCCTCCACAAGGGAAGTAGGGAACTCAACAAGGTTATGAGGCCACAGAGCCCCTAAGGCAATCACAGCTCCCCCTAAAAGGGCTCAAGACCCCAAAAAGGGCAATCAGAGTCCCTTTGTGTCCCCTCAATGTCACTGAGGCCACTTACAAGAGAATCAGCAGGGCTGGAACACCTCTGCTACAAAGAAAGGCTGAGAGTGTTGTGGTTGTTCAGTCTAGAGGAGAGAAGGCTGCAGGGAAACCCTGCAGCAGCCTTCCAGTACCTGAAAGGGGCCTACAAGAAAGCTGGGGGGGGACTGTTTACATGGGCATGTAGTGACAGGATAAGAAGCAATGGTTTTAAACTAGAACAGGATAGATTTAGGTTAGATATTAGTACGAAATTCTTTCCTATGAGCGTGGTGAGACGCCGGAACAGGTTGCCCAGGGATGTTGTAGCAGCTCCTCCCTGGAAGCGTTCAAGGCCAGGCTGGACACGGCTCTGAGCAGCCTGGTCTAGTGCAAAGCGTCCCTGTCCATCGCAGGGGTTGGAACTAGACAATCTTTAAGGTCCCTTTCAACCCAAACCACTCTGTGATTCTAGGGCTGGAGTTCCCACAAGGGGATCGAGAACCCCACCTGAGAGGATCTGAAGAACCACAGAACGGCCTAGGTTGGAAGGGACCTTAGAGATCATTTAAAC